TCTTCGAGTGTCAAAACCGGTCCACAGTTGGGCTCGCGTTGGACCAAAGCTGCTGAAATTAACGCACTCCCGGAAGGCCCTCGACGTTGGCCGACGGCTCGTGTAGTGCAATGCAGGGACAGATGTAGGAAAGGGGGGGAGTACTGCCCGCCCGTTTGTTTATGTCACACGGACGGACTCGTCGATTGCGTCGGTTTACCGCATGCTCGACCTTGCAACAAAGCCTCGCACTCTTCCGCACGGTCCGGCTTTGCGAGCTGTCGCTGCGTTTGAACGAAAGCCGGAGGTCTCGGACAACGGTGTGCGAGGGCGGCTAAAGCCTCGTCGTCTTCGCGGCCAGCGCTAAATTATAGATTTGCGACGCCACCGCCACTACGTACAGGGCCAAGGGGGGGGGGGGGGCGGTGAGGGGGGGCCATGAGGAATGGTGCCACATAGAGATGGAGGGAAATGAAAATTGGATTCTAGCGGCTTGCAGGCGGCGGTTTAATTTCGAAAAGTTCAGTCTCAGTCGACATTTCCAGCCCGATTGCCATGCATAATACATGAATTACGCCCGGCTACGTACTGAATTGGGTTAGCGATTTTCTTTTCTTAGCCTTTTGTACGTGTAAATGTCGTTTGTTAATAGTCGGGCCACAATGGGTTTGGTGATCGCAACTTCTGCACACTTTAATTGAACGTGTAATTCTGCGAGAAATAGGAAGGCCATCTCGAGAAATGTCAGAATTTGTTTTACATTCCGGCCGTTGCAAGTTGGGAGTCGAGGCTTAATGATGTGGGAGCGGTCGCACAGCGGTTAGCGTGACAAGCTACGAACCACCCGATGATCCGAGTTTGATTCCTCTCCGCAGCTAACACGAGCGGCGAGTCATTTCCGAACCAGTTGTCGCACTCTTAACCAACCCGCACTGACCTGACCAGCGTGGTGAAGTATGGTCAAACAGCCCTTCAGAACTGGTAGTGCCGTCAGACGGGTCTTCATTCAGCAATGGATTCACGAGGCCCAAAATTGTTATCATTTTACTTTACAATATCATCCACGCCTCGGAGTTTCCTGGCTGGCTGCTGACTGGGCTCCTCTCCAACCCAACAATACATCTATCGTTAGTGGCTGCTGTGGGCCTTTGCTATCAACATCGCGGGAGAAGTTCGGAAGACTCTTTATAATATAAATAATAGACGGTGACGTCGAAGAGGTGGGAGTAACGAATACTCATCTAAACTATAAAAAAAACTTTTTTTATTTTATCAGGTAAGGCTCACTGAGCGTTATACCTATTTTTTAGAAGTGACCTGGCCATCACAAATGATAGCCAAAAGAAGTGGCTTATCATGTGGAAATTTCATAGCAGCCAACTACTTAAAACGCACGTGGATTCTTAATGTGGCGGGAAAAACAAGAGGACCTCAGAAAAAAATCCACTGGACCCCGGGGAGAGAGACACGCAAACCCCAAATATACAGCAGCAAGCGTCAGTGTCGGAATCGAACCCACGGCCTCCTGCATACCAGGCGAGGTAGTTAGCATCTTGCTACAGTTAGTTTAAAATCGCTCTAACTTTTAAATTTGTACTTCTATAGATGTCATCCTTTGCCAGATTATCCTTTAAATCCTGCAGAATATAGCAACAACAAGAAAACAACTCACAATACATATTATTGTTGCATATCATGAAAAATAATAGCAGATCACTTGGAGTGTTCCGAGTACAGGAGGATTATGAGAAGAGCAGGAAAATGACAGCTCTCTTATTTTTAATTGCAGAGCAATGAGTCATCTACTCGCGATGATGATACTTATTATTAATAAACACAATATGTTGAACTTCTTTCGCACCGCATGTAGCCAACCGTGCTAATTGGATGTACGGGGGGGGGGGGAAAGACAACAAACTGAACACAAAAAGTAAAAAAATGCGTTTTCAATTTAGAGTGGCTACCGATTATTACCGGTAAAGGTCTGTTCACGATGGGGCTCCTCTGCCAAACTAGGTAGCACTTGAACACGTGGGAGGAAACGGGAGGGAGGGGGGAGAGACGCAGTGCGCAGGCTCATCTTTGGACAAAAGCTCTTGACGAGGACTCGTTGAAAATTAAGAGAGGCATTGAAACTCGGTGATAAAGGGCATTTTAAAGCAATAATATTACAATTATGGAAAGCCGAGTGGCCTACATAAAGCTAATGCACACTGAAAGGCGACCACGTCAAATTCACTCGTGCATGTATCTCACGTGTAAAAAATAGCCGTAAGCTGTCGGACGACACAGGATGGCAATGGCGATTTACGAACACAAACTTTCGCACTCGAACAGCATGCACGGACAGCATGCACACGCAACATGCACACACAGCATACACACGCATCGTGCACAAACTGCATGCACACGCAACATACACACGCAGCATACACACGCATCGTGCACAAACTGCATGCACAGGCAGCATGCACACACAGCGTACACACAGCATACACACACATACACAATGTGCAAACACACTCACATTGTACACATGGACAGCGAACACGCACACACGCACGCACGTGCAGGAGACACATCGTCGCATCACCGCCGGCCTGCGCGCTGCTCGAGGAAGCAGCTCGAGGGGTCCGCGGGCGGTGCCGGCGTGACTCAGACGCGACTAAGAGGGGGTCAAGTCTCTCTCGTTGGGGATAATGGCGCGCCGCTGTGTTGCGTTAATGAGTTCGCGCGATCGAGCCGAGCGATGCGACGGTGCACGGGTTGCGCGACCGCCGCCATTCCGCGAGAGCGGAGGGCACAGAGAGCCCAGTTGAGATTCCGTCTCTCCCGCCGCTCCGATCGCCATCGGCACCGATGCTCAGCTGCCGCCCGGCAGCGTTAGAGCAACGTCTAGACGGGGCAGGTGGCCCGGTTGCTCGGCGGTCAGGGCGGTGGCGTGGTTGTTGAGTGAGCAGGCGGTGCAACTGCATCGGGGCCCCATAGGTCGGAGAGGGGGGGGGTGGAATTGGACAGGGGTGGGCCCAATTTCACTCCTTGCTCCAGGGCCCATCTGTTTGCTGGTTTGAGCATTCAGCTTTTACCACTGAGTGAGAGCATAGGTGCAGCTCCCGGTCAGGTGAGGTTCTCAAATCGAAGAAATAAAGTGTCTCTGCCTGGATGCCAGTGACCGCACGGAAAATCCCAATTGCTAAAAATGTGTTTTTTCATTTCATTTGGCTAAATTCCAGCTCCAAGTATTAATTAAAAAATTAAACCTCGTGGTGTGGGAGAAGTGCATCACTCCTGGGGTGGACTAAAGGTTCCAGGAAGAATGATCAGATGTGCTTCTGTGATATCACCTTCCACATTTCATTCCGTGGAACACAGGGCTACGTACAGCTCTATGAGAATTTGCGATCAGCATGTTGCCGGAGAAACATAAATAAATAACTACAAGTTCGCAAACAGCACTGATCGGCAGTGACAAATGAAGCTTGGACGAGAACCACAGTGGCGCATTGCCCTGGATTCAATTAACTGGCAGGATGTATTAATACATAAATCCCGGAAAGTACATCTTGTTCTTTCGCACAGTAGTTGTTTTCTCATCGTATGGGGAACATTCACGCTGAGAGTGACAGCTGACGCCTGCCATCATTGAACCGTTTCCTGGTTTAACAATTACTAGCTCTGGCTCGCTTGTCACCACGCGCTGATGTCCGTTCATTATCTCTTTTGGCTGGGCGATTTTTTTTATGGGGCCGAATGTTTTTTGCTTCTTTTCTCTGCACGCTATCCAGTGCCATCCTGGCCGATGGTTGAGACTAATGATGGGATGGCAGCCAAAGGAGGGAACGCGCCTAAGGATCTGACCACCGCCTCAATGGAGCAGGGAAATCAGCTCACGTGCCGTGGCACGAGATGGATTTTTAGTACATGCCAGGACCGTGAGAGATGGTATTTTATTATTTCGCACTGTACATAGCCAACCGTGCTAATTGGAGGTGCGGGGGAAGGACAACAAACTAAACACAACAACAAGCAGTCCTTAAGAATCAATATGGGGCATTGTGCTGAATCAATATGGGGCATTACGCTGAATCAATATGGGGCATTATGTTGAATCAATATGGGGCATTGCGCTGAATCAATATGGGGCATGGCGCTGAACCAATATGGGGCATTATGCTGAATCAATATGGGGCATTGCGCTGAATCAATATGGGGCATGGCGCAGAATGAATATGGGGCATGGTGCTGAATCAATATGGGGCATTGTGCTGAATCAATATGGGGCATTGCGCTGAATCAATATGGGGCATTGCGCTGAATTAATATGGGGCATTGCGCTGAATCAATATGGGGAATTACGCTGAATCAATATAGGGCATTACGTTGTATCAATATGGGGCATTGCGCTGGCGCGGACGTTAACTCCCTCGCCTAGTATGAAGGATGGTTGTGGGTTCGATACCGACCCCGGCACCTGTATATTTGGATTGTGCATGTTCTCCCCACAGTCGCGTGGATTTTTCTCAGGGGTCCTCCACATTAAGAAACATGCGTTTAGAGTATTTGGATGCTACAAATTTGCGCATGATAAGCCACTTCGTTGACTTTCATTTGGGGCCAGGTCGCTTCTGAAAAAGAGCTGTACAGTTCAGTGGGCCTTACCTGGTAAAATTAAAATAGACGCGAACAACCGCCCCGTTGTTGTACGCGTGAATGTCCTGGTGGGCTGGCGCTCTCTCGTTTCTGGGGGTGTATCGTCCAAAATGTGTTCCCTCAATATTCACCAGACTTGTGCAATGGCACCACCTGGTGGCCTGCGCTTTCAAGCCGTGCCCCTCCGCCACCCCGTGGCGGTACGCGAGCCTCTCCTTAAAACAAAACTTTATTTTTTACAGGTAAGGCTCACTGAGCCATGTAGCTCTTTTTCACGAGCGACTTGGCGAAAATTGATAGCTCAACGAAGTGGCTTGTCGCGTAGAAATTTATAGCAGACAAATACTCTGAACGCACATTGATTACAAGCATGGAGTGAACAATCTGAATGGACTTTATCCGTGTGAATCGAGCCAATTCAAATTAAGATGGAGGTCTCTTTGTGTGTACACGTCACGTGTGTGTACGCGTGTTCCACATGACACAGACAGCGTTAATTGCTTAGTGCGTCACGTGGGACGCATTTAACAATCATTGGGCATGTGCAGGGTGGAACGAGTCAATTTTCTATTAGAATGGGGAGGAGTAAATTGGTAACCGCAGAGATAATTAGCGTGGTGGTGACGGGTCGCAAGGACTGGAGTTTGGCAAACCCTGTCGTAGTTTACACCGCAGTGGTTTCGGTGACCCCCTCCCTCCTACTGAGCGAACATGAACCTCCTCCTCCTCTGCTGAGATTTACGAGCGCCCCTCTCTTGCGTTAGAACCGCGACACTCTCTGTCGGCGACGCGGGGTCACTGCAGCGATTTGAGCCGAGCTGACCTCTCGGTGGGCGGTTCGTCCCGTGCGCGAAAATGAACGTTGTGAGATTTACGGCCACTCTCCGCCGGCACTGGATGGAACATCCCCACCCCTGGGACACCGCCCGCTCAGGGATTCATTTCAGGCGGGTCTGTCTGTGCCTTGTGACCCGGGAAATATTTACACAGTCGGTACACCACGTCGGGTAATTTCTCTCACTACGGCCGCGGCCACCTCTCGTCGTGTGCCACTTAGGCCAGCCTACCAGCGACATGGGAAATATTGTCGGTGGTAAATCGCGCCCTGGGGTGCGCTCGTTCGTAAATTTCCGCCGTCTCTGATTGTGATCAGGAGGGCGGAGGTGGAGAGAGAGCGGCTGCGTTGAGTGAGACGGAGCTCGCGATGATGGAGTGCCCGGGCCCTCTTGTGACTTCACTCGGCTCAGCACAACCACGTAGCTCACGTAAGTCAGGGTTTCCAAACCATAATGAACTGGTGGCCACCTGTCAGAGGCATGAACTGGTATGGTAAGCCACCTAAAATATTATTTTCCTTTAATTGCGATGCTTTAGTGTAGATGCCCTTGTGTGATGCCACCAAGTGTCCCAGGAGCATCACGACCCATTCATTGAAAGTACGCGCGTCTCACGAGGCACCGCTGAATTGCGCATTTCTCAAGTTAATTGCACCGTATTCATTTCCTGGCCCAAGGAAACACAAGGTGGGTTAAAGTATTGTGCCCACAGAATTAGCACGGCAGTTTTACTTTGAAGAAGCCACGCCACAAAAATATCATAATATTAGTCGTGAAAGCCGACAAATACATTTTTATATGTCAACTAATGCACTGCCAGATAAAGGCCTCTGACACCATGTCAGTCGTGGGGGTTGTATGACCATACTTCACCACGCTGATTGGGGCCCTGGACCGGTTCATACATCACTCATCACTGATGTTAGCCGTGGCTGGGAATCTTAACACGGACTCCTGGGTTCATGAAGCAGTGCACGAACCTCCACGCCAACGCTCCCCCCCACCAAAGTGACCACGAAATAAAAATTATCTCCAATCCTGATCGCAACTGCAGACCCTCTAGTATTTAACCATACCCCCCCCCCTCCCCCGTGCATGGTATCTCATCACAGAAACAAGGCATTGGGAATTTGCACCGTGTGGAATTTGGGGAGAGTGTCATTTGCCCCTAGTCACAGGGTACATTTAAATTAGACCATACTCAAATAATTCTGTCTCCCTTTGCAGTAAATCCTCTCCACCCCCCTCAGTAAAAAATAAAAATATATTTTCTATTTCTCATTCTCACAGTTCAGGAATTCGCGGGCAAAGTCACGCCACCGCAGCGGCACGTTATGTAACGATCGTGCATCGGCATGCGCACCCCGCCAAAAATGAAATCAAAGAAACGACTCCCGATCACAACAAGGATGAGAATTTTTTTTTTGCGACCGTAGAGCGGGGGGCGGGGGGGGAGCGATTTCAGATGGGGATGCAGGAGTGGCTGGCCGGGTGCCAGAGCCGACTGCCACTGCCGTATAAAACCTGGGGCGCGATGGTGGGTGCGAGAAAGCGCGGCACACGCGCGTGGCACTGTCGCGATGGAACCTCCGCTGCTCAAGCGGCTGGCGCGCTGGCTCTTGGTGGTGCCGCGCTTCCTCGCGTCGGCCCTGGCGCTCTGCCTGCTCGACCTGCCGTGCGTGCGGCGGCGAGCGATGCGCTCGCTGGCCGACGAGGCGCGCCGTTCCGGCACGGCCGACACCGACCCGCCGTGGCGTATCTCCGACTCGGAACGCACGTTCACGCGGGCCTCGCTCGCCGCCGTGTGGCGCGGCCACGTCCTCGACGCGTTCAAGGAGGCGCGGGCAGGCGGGCTCGCGCCCAACACGCCCGTTGAGCGATTGGACGGCGGCGGCGGCCCGAGCGGCGGCGGCGGCGGCGGCGGCGGCGGCGACGCCAGCAGCACCAGCGCGCGCGTTCTGGACTTCGCGCACGGCTCCCGGCCGCTCGTGCTGAGCTTCGGCAGCGGCAGCTGACCGCCGTTCATGGCGCGGCTGGGCGCATTCGGGCGGCTGGCGCGGGAGTTCAGGCCCGCCGCCGACTTCCTGCTGGTGTACGTGGAGGAGGCCCACCCGCTCGACGGGTGGAGCACCGGCGACGCCCCGTTCCAGCTGCCGCGCCACCGCAGCCTGCCCGAGCGTCTGGAGGCCGCGCACCGCCTGGCGGGCCTGCTGGGCCCCGCGTGCCCCGTGGTGGCCGACACGATGCGTAACGAGACGACGGCGGCGTACGGCACCGCCTTCCTGCGCCTCTACATCCTGCAGGCCGGCGTCGTCGTTTACAAGGGCCCCAGCGGGCCCGAGGGGTACCGGCTGAGCGAGGTGCAAGCTTGGCTCAGAGACTTTACGGCGCGGCAGCAGCAGAAGCTGTGCTCGTTACTCAGCGTTTAAGAGTCGGAGTGCAGGCACCTGCCATGGGGGTCGGTGTCGAGGTCACAGTTTTTGTAAATCTTGCTCAGCGGTGAATATTTTTCTTCTTGTTTTTTTTACTAAGAGAATAAGTGCAGTAAATACTGTTGTTGCCTTAAGGGGATCTGTAACAGTTTACATCGACCACCACTGTTCTTGGAAAGAGGAAAAACGAAATCGGCAATTGGAATATCGGAGATAACGCATAGGCAATGGTACAAAGAGATGAGCCAGAATATCTGTATAGTGTTAAAGTTAGTTATTTTTACTATTAACACTGCCTTAGAACAGAATATACAAAATATGCAGCCACACGCTATACATTGTTTCTGTTATAAGACATTGTTAATGATAAGCTGGTCCGCACCTCCGATTAGCACGGTTGGCTACGCACGGTGCAAAATAAGTTCAACATACACATTATTATTGTTATTGTTTGCGCACAAATTAACGTTCCCAGTTAGTGGAACACGAGACAAATTATATCTCGCGTTTCCTCAGTTTTACCGTGATCAATTAGCGTAAATGATGGACTGGGAGATTTGCGAGCATACTTATATATTTACACAGTGGCGGGTAACCTAAGGAACACGTGGAATAATCCCCGTTCATTTACCTATTTTGTATCTCTGCACATTAACGGTGCCTTACTGCAGAAATTCACATCAAATGACTTAAACGCCTTCACTGTGATGGTTTTTTATGAAGACGCAAAGCCCCAGTTTACGTGCGATTAAAGTAAACACGATGTTTTCTCTCAACCGTGTAACATAAAAACAGTTGGGTAAAAAAAAATTGTATTTGTCTCCCAATGCATTCAGTTTATTTCTCAGAAACGATTATTTATTGGCAACAATTTATTTGCAGTGCAAATACGATAGTTTGTTTGTGCCAAACTTTTTTTTTACTTTTTGTTTTGCGCACATTCAACACTGCCTTATAAATGGAACACGACGAGGAATTTTCATGATTTAAAGCTTTCGTGACTGCAGGGATTCATATTCTTGGTTCTTTCGGTAAAGTCACGTAGAAGGGAAACAATAATATTGTTTTATATTTTTATTATATAAAAACAATATTATTGTTTTATATTTTTATTATATATTATATAAAACAATAATATTGTTTTATATTTTTATTATTTTATTGTTTCCCTTCTACGTGACTTTACCGAAAGAACCAAGAATATGAACGCTATCATTTTTATTTAGTCCTTGCTGTTTTATTTATTCTGCACACATTTTTTTAGATGACGCGCATTTACGATGGAGAGTTGAGGCAAAAACCTTTGCGCATAAAACAAAAACTGAAGACAATCGTCAGTAACATTGCCCTAAAGAGGAACAAAAATTGAACGTGATAATTCGTACAATGGGCCTACTTTCATACCCATCGCTACGTTTGGTATCCGCGTCATTCTTAGCGGGCAAGGTTGTCGTGAAGACGCCGTGTTTCACAGGCCATTGTGATGGAAGACGGGCCGTTGCCTGAAACGTCAACCTGTTAATCACGATTCAAATTTATACGGCGCCCTTGAACGATCGGATCTCGGAGTGCTGTGCGTGTAAAGGATGAAAATCGGTAACCAGGGAGAGAAAGACTGAAAATAGAGTGCGAGAGAGATAGGAGGCAGTTTTAAACAGGTTGGTGGGGGTCTTCGCCTGGAACTTTAAACATCTTCAGCGACTGGGCCCTGTACAGACAAATAGCCCGGCGGTCATCCCAGGTTCCAATCCCGGAGAGCGCGGTCATCACTCCGAGTCGGGGCACGATGTTAGCTTCCTTAGAGGGGCAGCAGTGTTGTTCACGAAGGTGTTGAGTTTACGTTTTTTGTGCTTGTGCACGACTCCCCGCGTAGTATGTACACGTGTATGCATGTACGTTGAACTTCTTTTCCGCGCCGTACGTTTGCCGACCGCGCTAATTGCGTCTCTTCGACAACATAACAATTGCGAGCTGCCACCATGTTCTGCGGCCACGGGGCTTTGCGCGTGTTGGGTATTTTTTCATGAGGAAGCGTCTGTAAAGGGACCCCGCTCCACAGAGACGCGTTCTGAACGCTGCGCACAAATACAGGCACAGCCCTTTCCCTCAGCGCCGGCAGAACGTGTGTGCCCCAGTAGGGCGAGCGAGCGAGCGTCGTTGACCCCGTGTGCGACTCTCGCTCCCAACGCTTCTTGTACAAGTAATTGTTTTCGTGTATGTCGGTGTGTGTGTGTGTGTGCAGGGGTTAGCGGTAGTGTAGCAGTTAGCGCACTGCGCTCCGAAGCCAACGACCCAAGTTCGATTCCCGCTCACGGCCAACACCAGTGACGGTTATCTGAACCGGTCTCGGGCCTGCCCTGAGGTCGACTCAGCCTCAAATGAGTACCTGTTGCTGTGTGTAGTAAACATCGCCACTGGAGAGACAAAGGCGGTCGGGCGTGGTGCTGGCCACCCACGCCCTTGTGTGCCGTGCCGGCCTTCATAGGTGCTCGCTAACAGCACTTGCCTCATCAGTCTGTTCAGGCTATACAGGATATCTTTGTCTTGTGCGCAATGTTAAATTCAGCTATGAAAGTCTAAAGCCTCCTGTGCAGAGCTTTACTCGTCAGAAATTGAACAATACATTGATAGCGTTTTAACTACAGGTTTCCCTCGCTCCGTGTGGGTTCGGCTCGTGTGATTTCACGCATACTCGCCTAACTTATTTCGACCCAAAATTCACGACGTTACGCGGTTTGAATTCACTCTACATGCAGCTCTGCGGTCGGACGTGGGACAACATTGTGTGTGTGTACTATGCTCGCTACTCGACAGGCGGCTGTCTCGCGCGGGGGCATTGTGAGTTGGGTGACTGTGGGCTCCATTCTGTGCGAATTTGTTTTGTGCGCCCGATTTTTGGAACGCACCTACTCACGCGTTAAGGGAGGGAAACCTGTAATGTGTTTGTAAGCTTGGCGTTGTTGGATGGTGCATGGGATAATGGCAAGAATTTTGGTATAAGCCTAGCGCATGGCCTAACCCAACAGCAAATATGGGTTGGTGTGTGTATGTGTATACAGGTAGTCCCCGACTTACGATGGAGATGCGTTACGACGACCCCATCGTAAGTCGAAAATATCGTAAGTCGACAATGGCCTAGCCTACCCAGGAGTCTTACAGAATGGTGATAATTTAGCAAAACAGAGCAATTTACAGTACCGTACTGTATAACTATATACTGTATGTATTTATTAATGACAATACTGTATTGCACAGTAAAATTGAAAGTAAAAAAAAACAAAGTAAATTCTTAGCCTACCAATATGTACTGCAATTTCACAGAAAGTTTTTTCAGGAAAAAATCCTATCCTGCCTATAAAAACTTTTAACATGCATTGAACGTATCGTAACGTATCATATTCTACTGTACTCACCAAGATTCTGTCCGTCGTCTGCATACTTGAACGATGTTAGGTTGTTGATGGCTACATTAACTTAGTTGTCGGAATAGGAGGATGGCGATGATAAAGTACGATATCGTACCTCGTACGCTGCTGCGTTTGCCTGCCGCGCGAAATTTAAAATATTTTACAATATTGTCATATCGCTATCGCCATCATAAGATCGAAATATCGTAAGTCGGGGACTACCTGTATATGTTTGTGTGTATGTGCGAACTGGAGAGGTAATGCAGCGGTTAGCGCACAGTGCTTCAAACCAGGCGACACCAGTTCGAATTCCAGCCACGGATGAAATCCGTGTTGAGTGATATCTGAAACATCCTGGACCTCCTCTAGGTTGACTCAGCCTTAAATGAGTACCTGCTGCTGTGTGTAAAGATCAACACTGGGGAGACAACGGCAGCTGAGCATGGTGCTGGCCACACCACCCCCTCGTCTGTTAAGGCCTGATGGGGGATCTTTGTCTTTGTATTATAGTTTGCTGGAATTCCTTTAGTTTAAGTGTAATCTATAATTATGCACGCATACTTGTGTTCACGCGATGTTTCCAAAATAATGTGTTTGTAACCTTGAACAAAAGCAATGAAATCCAAAAATAGTTTTCCTGCTTGAACGAAAAAGCCAAGAAATGGACGTTGTAGGAGGAGGGCCGATTTCAGGAAGGTCGCGTTTCACGGCGCGTCACTCGTCTAACAACGTCGGACTCCTTCCTTTTCCGTCCGGACGAAGACAAAAACAGGGTCTTAAAATTATTGATCGTCGTTATTTTTCTCATTGTAAGCACTTAAAATGCGACAATTTCAGTTTTCAATAAAATATTGTAAATTACCCTGACTTAAATGTTCACTCAATTGCACGGTGGCAGTCGGCGAGTGGTGCCGCATGCACGCACAGACGGACGGACGCACGCACGCATGACCCGGGTCACTCTCGTGAACGAGACTCTGTCCTGGTATCTCGAGTTCTCACCTGGTTAAACACCTGGTTAAACACCTGGTCAAACACTTGGTTAAAGACCTGGTTAAATAGCTGGTCAAACACCTGGCCAAACACTTGGTTAAATTCCTGGTCAAACACTTGGTTAAAGTCCTGGTCAAACACTTGGTTTAAGAGCTGGTCAAGCACCTGGTTAAACACTTGGTTAAAGACCTGGTCAAACACCTGGCCAAACACTTGGTTAAAGACCTGGTCAAACACTTGGTTAAAGTCCTGGTCAAACACTTGGTTTAAGACCTGGTCAAACACTTGGTTAAAGTCCTGGATAAACACTTGGTTAAAGACCTGGTTAAAGACCTGGTCAAACACCTGGTTAAAGTCCTGGTCAAACACTTGGTTAAAGTCCTGGTTAAACACTTGATTAAAGTCCTGGTTAAACACTTGGTTTAAGACCTGGTCAAACACCTGGTTAAACACCTGGTCTCAATTACACCCAGGCACGTTTTCAGAAATTTAAACAGTTATACCGGTTATACCGAAGCACAATTATATAAATTATACCTAAGCACAGTTAACACCAATTATACCAAAGCACAAGTATACCAGTTATACCAAAGCACAGTTATACCGAAACCACGGTTAGAATGGTTGGCAGGCTGGACTAGAATTAAGAGGTTCACCGGTTCAATCTCCCAGCGCCGAAGGCGGTAGGATGGACAAGTATCTTAAATCCTTCCCACTGTCCACCCAGCATAGTAACTGGGTACAGCCACAGTTATTCAATCGGGAGTTCCGTTTGCAGGGGGGTAAAGTGTGGACGCTTTCCCCTCTTCTAAGACTTCTGGTTAGCGTGGAAGAGTGAGTTAAATACCCTTCAATGGGGTCCTCTAGAGTTGCCTCTACCATCGGCCATCCCGCCTGCAGCGCGTCACTGGCGAAAGGGCGCCACGGAGGTGAGATGTTTTCTCCCTCGCCTGGTATGCATGGAGGTTGTGGGTTCGATCCTGACCCTGATGCCTGGGTCTCTCCCCGTGGTCGCATGCATTTTACTCCGGGTCCTCCGGTTTTTCCCTCCACATTTAGAAACATACGTTACCGAGTATTTTGCTGCTATCAATTTCCACGCGATAAGCCACTTTGTTAAGCTTTAGTTTCTGGCCAGGTCGCATGTGGAAAAAAAGTCAGTGACGTTTTGGGCAATGGCCCGTCTTCATATCTCGCAGAGATAGAGTGAATAATAATTGCAGACTAAACAACACCGTGGGGCCTGCTGAAACTTCTACTTAAAACAAAAAAAAATCAGATGACCAACAACGTAAAAGGTAATTTCAGCAAATCCCATCCACCAGATGGATGAACGCCTGTTGAGATTATTTGGCGGCTATAAAATGTCCACACGATAAGCCACTTTGTTGAGCAATCATTTGTGGCCAGGTCGCTTCTGAAAAAGAGCTGTATAGCTGAGTGGGCCTTACCTGGTAAAATAAAAATAGCTTTTAGTTTCAGTTTAGTGAGACGAGCAAGCGACTGCAGTGCTGCGCCTTTACATTTGTATCTTTGCGGTTACACCTCCGCAGAACGATGCCTGCGCATGAATGGAGGTGACGGCTTTTTGTACGGCGCGGATGGCGACCAGACACCAGGACGAGTTGTTCTGCTTGTGAGGTG